TAGCCTCAAATCGTCTCATCGTCACAATATTGAAAATAAGCGAGGGAGATATCAGATACCGCACATATCATAACAACGGAACCAACTCCCAATCAAGCCCTAAGGATTGTGACTTCCTTGATATGCGCATGGGTCTTGTACTTTCAGCAGTATGGGAAAATAATACCTTCCACACCTTTCCATATTTGTCTCAGAGGATCATCAAAACCACCCTAACAATACATACTAGCATGATCACACGAGATCCTAACATCCTAGAGAAAGACTACACATCTCGATCCTGGCCAGGTGACCCCACACAATTCATCCTAGCACAAACTGCCACACGACCCTCCATTGGTGCCAGATAACTATCGCATGAATACGATCACATGCTACACAGTTTAAATAATCTTAGACTAAAAGACACAACCTTACAATTGTTGGACTCAGGCAAGAGCTTCACAGTAGGACCAAACTTGTTATCCTAAGATCATTTTTAGCATGTGACTTAGCGTATTCACACAATAGCTTGTTCACACGCAAAAGAGTCAAACAACAATAAATCAGGGATTTTATAAGAGATAAGGCATCATATATCAGGAAATTCTATCATTTAATTCCTGAAGATCCCTATCCTTATACTAGCATGTTGTTCTAACATATCAAAGCATAATCTCAAATAACTGTGTGGTAATTTGAGGTCTACTTATTGGCTCCGGTTGATCATACACATTGCATCCTCCATGATTATTTTGAAAACCATTTGAAAATTGTTTGAAAAATATTTTTCCTTAGTTTGAGACTGGATTCACACGAGTGCTCTTCCAATTCACTCAAATTAAGGCTCTAATACCAACTTGTACCATCCATAAAATTCATGAAAAAATTAAACTTTTAAAACCAACCCACAAGTCATCATTGTTTACAAATTAGTTTTCAAAACATGTTAAATATCATAGTTTTCCTAAAATCATAAAACAAAACACGATGAGGTTCACGATCATGCCTTTGCCATCCCGTGATCCTTTGAGGTACCTGAAACATAACCCAAAACTGTAAGCCCAAAGCTTAGTGAGTTCCCCCAAAGTACCAACAGATATACAATAACAACATGCAATGGTCCATAACTAACATACTAGATTACCCCTAAGCCCACAACATAAGTCTTGTTTGCCCTCGGCCCACAACTTATGTCTGGCTTGCTCCCCGACCAGACAAGTCCTCGGATTGAATATCACTAAGCCATCAGTACGAGTCTGGCATGCTCTTCTCGGCCCTAAGCTCGTATCTGGGATGCTCATGAGTCATCAGTATGAGTCTGGCATGCCCTCCTCAGCCCTCAGCTCATATCTGGATTGCTCCAAGGTTTGTTAGCTACCACACGGAGCAGTAAAACCTCAAACCAACCCACACAATATGTTGACATATAAGAGATAATCATACAGTATCATAGGTAGTCCTACAGATCTACCAGACTATCATATCAAAACTAGCATGCATATTTATTCCATACTCAACATATCAACGAATATTAGGTTATCAAACTAATGGCCCGGCCTTGGTGCCTTCACCCGTAAGAACAGTGAGGAAAACTCACCTCGCAGACTGAACAGAACTGATGAGGTGCGACTTTGAAATCTCAGTTCTCTAACCGATACATGTGTCCACCAAGTGACCAATTTCATCAAGAACCCAAAATAACCAAAATACCCTCAAGGTCCAACTTCGTCAAAGTCAACAATCAAGGCCAACAGTCCATGTTGACCCATCACGCCGTGTTCCCCTTGGCTACGTCGTGTTCCACGAGCATCCAAATAGTCAGAAAGACCTTAGCCAACACGTCGTGTTTACTTGAAAACACGTCGTGTTCGCCTGAGTTCCAATCAACTTAATACATTCTGCTACCTTTTCGACTTTAAGAGCTCCAAAGCTCAGATCTAGACCAAAATGTGATTACAAAGGGTAAAGTTTCCAACTTTATCCATTGGGACTACCAAAAAGGTCCAAAAACCTAAATCAAAAGCTTGATAAAGCAAGGGCTTAACCAAAATACTCTTAATCCTTAAGATCTAAAGTCCATCCTTTCCAGAAGTGTTTCTAACACCCAAACCATCCCAAAGGTTGGTGGTTTTTATACATACATGTCCAATGTATGACTTGAACCCATATTTGGTCAAAAATGAGGATTTATGACCTAATCTCTATGCATGGCATCAAAACTTGATTATAGACCAGATCCAAGACACTACTAGATCACCTTGACCTGGAGATTCATAAAGTTGCAGACTTTTATGAGATCCAACCATTAAAACATTCAAGAACAAAGAGAAAAGGGACAAAACTCAAGATATAACAATTTTAAATGATAAAAATCGGGTCTTGGACACTTACAAAGGTCCAGAAGAATGTCAAACTGAATAATGGGGCTTGCTTGTTGGATCTTTGCTTCCTTCTTTCACCTTCTTCCTTCAAAACACCAAACTAGCTTCACAAATAAGAGAGAAAATGATTACGTTTTCTTTAAGAGCTTAAGGGGCTGATGGGGGTTGAGGGTGAATAAACCATAGCCTCCATATTCCTTTAAATAGGGAGAAAAACCTGTAATATTATGGTTTCATTTCAGCGGTCAACTTGTCGTGTTCCAAGAGGAAACACGTCGTGTTGTCCAAATAAAACCCGCGCCTTGTCATATCCAGACACGTTGTGTTGGTGCCTCCAACACGCCGTCTCCAATCCTCAATTATACTAAGAGTGCTACCACTTCGTCAATTGACATGAAATAGAATTATAGGGATGAATTTAGAAGTACCTGGATATCAGGATGTTACAATGTTGGATCTAAGAAAGTGTCAATGATAAAACTATTGGGTCCCAAAATCCCATCCCCATTCCTTTACCCTTATTCTCTTTTTTGTTACAGGAACTCCAAAGACAACTATCGATTTTCTCATTCACTCATAAAATCAAGAATTTTCTACTATAGATATAATTACTTATTCTCCTTTGTCTTCTCCTTAACATTGCAACCCAAAAAACTCCCCATCGACTTTAAATTGTAGTCTTTAAAAAAAACAGTACCTTTGATATATTCAACCCAAACCATCAACCCTACAAGATGAATTAGATTTTGAAAACATAAACCATTTGATTTCAAACCCAGAAAAAAGAAAAATGATTCCAAAATACAAAAAACGATTTCCATCCTCACGATTTCGTAGTTTTCCAACTCTTACTGCGTTCGTGAGTTGCAACTTCAGTTTCGATTTCAATAAAACAACAATCAAATGTGTGGGGTTGACTTTAGTTTCGATTTCAATAGGCGAATTTGAATCAGAGCTTTTTTCTTTCTTTATATCAGTGATTTAGAATCTTCAAATCCTTAAAGTGATTATCGAGACATTGACTGAGATGGATTCGATCATGATGGTAAAGATGGTATCGTCGGATCTATCGATTTCGGACTTTTACACACCGATATTTCAAATGAATTGGAGATGAAGGTGGAGCCATAGCCTAGGGGTGAGCATTTGGACCGGTGAACCGGACCGAACCGGACCATTTTTTTGGACCCCGGGCCGGTTCTCAATTCTAGGAATCCATCAAAATCGATCCGGTTTTTACCGGGTTTAGAATCGGTTGGTCTCGATTTAAAAAAACAATTGTAATTTGTGAAAATTTTTAAACAACCATAAATCATTCGTTTAAGTCGGATTGACACGCGATTTTTTTTCAACGTTTAATTTACAGTTTGTAGATGCATTTAGACTATAATTTTTTTAATTTTGGTATTATATTCAATGAGTTACAGTCTTTCAAAGTTAAGCTATCGAAGCTGAAAATTTTCAGCTTTTCAGCCATATTTTTAAAATTTTGTGATCTGTGAAAATTTTTAAACAACCATAACTCATTCGTTTTAAGTCGGATTGACACCCGATTTTTCCAACGTTTAAGTTACAGTTTGTAGATGGATTTAAATTATAATTTTGTTGATTTTGGTATTATATTCAATGAGTTACAGTGTTTCAAAGTTGATCTATCAAAGCTAAAAAATTTCAGCATTTCAGCAAGATTTTTAAAATTTTGTAATCTATGAAAATTTTCAAACAACCATAACTCATTCGTTTTGAATCGAATTGATCTGCGGTTTTTTTTTTTTTTCCAATGTTTAGTTTACAGTTTGTAGATGAATTTAGAATATAATTTTGTTGATTTTGATATTATATTCAGTGAGTTAGAATCCTTCAAAGTTGAACTATCAAAGTTGAAATATTTCAACTTTTTAACTATTATTTTAGACTATAATTCTGAATTTTATGTATCTTTGACAGATAAATCATATGAAAGGGATCTTGATGGACTTGATTTATACGTTAGTTGATTTTTTTTGGAAAATTAATTTTGCAAGTTATAATATTATAACATCAATGTAGATTAGTTATGCATGAAATGGAAACGTAATCATTTTTTCAAGTTGTATCGTATCAAACATAATAACATATTCGTTTTAATGAGTTCTATTAAACCCAAAAACTTATTTTAACGACTTGTACTCTATGCAATTCAAGTTGTACCGGTCCAAACGGGTCTAAGAACCGGAAAATCCGGACCCGAACACAATTCATCCGGTTCAGTTCACGGTCCACAATATTCTCCATAACTGGTCCGATCCAAATGCTCACTTCTACCATAGCCCTAGCGGTGGTTTTAAAGCAGAAAAGGTCCAGGCTTGAAGCTAATAGTCGTCAGGGTGATAATTGGGTGGTAGGGCCCACCATACTTATTAATATTTTCCATTTTTTTGTAAAAGGTATATAACATATAATCAATAAAAATAAATAAAAAACGGTAACATAATATTTTTGTTATAGCAGAACTAGACGTTAACCAAACCAAACTATAACTAAAAAAAAAAAAAGGAATAAACTCGTAAATTATCTCTAACTTAGAGGGCAATTAATTTTAATTTACTCTTATATTAATAAAGAAGGTAATCAAAGGAAATTTTTGTTGGAGTGTGGATAAAGACAGTGACAAAAAAGAAGAGTGGGGCAGAGTTTAAAGACTTTGTCTCTCACAGAAGAAAGAGAGAGAAAATTCAATTCGGTGAAATTGGTATTTATTATTATTTAATGTGAAGAGCGATGGTGTCCGATCAAGAGATAGCAAAAGGGATTCAGATTCTTCTCACCCAATCTCACCCCAAATCATTCACTACTCTCGATCATGTTGTTAATCAGCTTGGTGAAAAACTAGGGTTTGATTTGACTCATAAGGCAGCTTTCATTCGTGACCAAATCAACCTACTCCTCTTCCACTCCCACTCCCACTCCCAATTCCGCAACCCTCCACCGCCGCCTCAACCCTCCGTTCCTTCACCGGTGACCACCTCTGGGATACCTAAAGACCAATTTTCCTTCCAACATCAACAGCCCCAATTTCATTTCAACCAACAACAGCCTCATGCGCCTCCTCCTCTTCGGCCTCAATATCACCATTCTCATTTTGCCACTGAACATCAAGAACCACGCCAGAGACACCCGGTTAAGCTTAACTTCGGTAACCCTGAGCCGCCGCCGCCGCCTCCTCCAGAGCAGTCACGACTGCAGACGTTACCGGAGGTGAAATATGAAGGATTCCCCATTCAAAATGCGGTTTGGAAATCGCCCGAAAAGATCAAGAAAGGGTACGGATTTCTACTTCTTCAGTTTAAACTATTTGTCTATGTCATTTTTCATTTTTATGCAATTAGGGTTATGTTGAAATCGGGGGAATAGCCTCTAAATTGACCATGTAATGTACACACAAGTTGAATTCCCTCTTCACTTAGCTTCTTTTCCTTTTTTCCTTGATTCCATAATAAAGAAAGAACATTTGATTCTACATTTCTACTATAAATATCCATGAATCTCCCCGATGTAATGAAGGGTTAAAATCAAGAAAAGCATCATACTTTCATCTCTTTGAATCTTCATCTCAACATTGTACATTCACTTTCTTTTCTTTCTACCTCGACGACATTGCTATAATGTTTTCAATGAACACAGGCCTTCAACCAACAAAAGAAGAGGTGGGCCCGGGGGGCTAAATAAGCTCTGTGGTATTTCACCTGAGCTACAAGTGATTCTAGGAAAATCATCCTTATCAAGAACCGATGTATGAATCCTACTTTCTGCATAAAGAATTTGCTGTATTCAAGTAAAAACACTCATATAAAGCTTATATCTTTCAGATTGTGAAGCAACTATGGGCCTACATAAAGAAAAACAACCTTCAAGATCCTGAAAACAAGAGAAAGATAATTTGTGATGATGCTTTACGAGTTGTATTTGAAACTGATTCCACTGATATGTTTAAGATGAATAAGTTGCTTGCTAAACATATCATCCCACTTGAACCTACAAGTAAACTTGCACAAAATATAATACTTTTTCTTCAATTTGCCTTTTTGATTTTAATTTAAATTACAAAAATGTTGATTTTTCAGAGGCATCATCTCGTAGGAAACCAAAAGTGAAGGTTGAAAGTAGCGATTTTATTCCATGTCAAGTTATAATCTCTGAAGCGCTTGCAAATTGTTTGAATATGCAAGAAAGACAAATGTCTCAATCAGAGGCTTTGAGACTTGTTTGGGAATACATAAAGGTTAATAATCTTGAGGTATAAAATATAAAATATTAAATAACATTTCAGATCCTGAAAATGTATATAAATGTAGGGATTATTTGATTGTTTAATGTTTAATGATAGGATCCTGAAAATCCTGTGATGATTATATGTGATGCAAAGCTTATGGAGATTTTTGGATGTGAAAGCATTTCTGCAATGGAAATACCCGAATTGTTGGTCAAACAACATTTACTAATCCAATGATCTATGTTGACTGGTGGGTATTTTAGTAATTTAGTCTTTTCTTATCTCGTTTCTTTAATGTAACCTTTTTTTTTTTACTATTTGTTTTAGGTATACAAGCGATTCATCAACTAATGATTTATGGTGTTCTTTGACTTAGTGAAGAAACTTAGTGGATTTGTGTTTGATTTTGTTGTTTTATTCTTTCCATGTGGTTTCTAATAGTGTTTTTACAACCCCTTTGTAAAAAATGTCTAACCTTGACTACAATTTTCATGGTTTGCAACAAAAAAAAAGTAGTCTTTTTAGGTAATATAAGGATTAAACGTGTAACAAAAACATAACCAAACAAGCAAATTACCTCAAACCATAGGGACCATTTGTGTAATTGACTCTATTTTTTACAACTCGGAACAATGTACTTATATTTTTATGTCTAAACGAATTCACGTATGTAGATATTATGGACTACAAATTGCTATCATTCGTAAAAATGTAAGTATATGTTGTTATTATGGGTAAAAAAATGAAAATAATATACATTTTTAGGATAAAAAGAATGTATGTTGCCTAATAATTACGACTCCTAACTCCTATAAAGCCTTAGAACAATGAAGAGTATAACAAAAGCTACTACGATGCATATTAAATAAATAGCCTTTTTGTTGTCACCCTTGAAGATTGCCTTTGAAGCCATTTGTCCCATTATGCTTGCAATAAATCCCACCATTTTCTACCAAAATATAATCATAGAGTTATTTTAACCATGGACATAAAGTTTATTTACAATTAAAATGCACAAAAAAGATAAATAATGCTAGAACGACCGATTTTAACCATTTTCTTAATCATTGTTGTATAGTTTTGTTCTAAAGTATCACTTTTTGTTGCCTTTTAGTTTTTCATTTTGGAAATAAAAATGAATGTGTTTCTTTTTAATTATAATAACAACTTATATGTAACATGGAACTTGCAATATGCTTATAACTTATAAGTTTCATGTTACGTATTGTTATTATTGTAAATAAATAAAAGTAGTCGTTGTTATGAGAAATATAAGCATGCTTTGCTATTATAAGAGAAAAATAAAGTGTAATTTACTTGTTAATATTGTTCATCTAAAAAAGTATAATGAAATTTTAATTTTTTTAAAAGACTAGAGAAATAATTCTCACCAATACCGGGGGATCAATATATGAAAGTGGCTCCAAAAACATCTCTACGTTCCTGGAAAATAAAACATAAGTCGAGTTTATTTCAGAATTGGGTATTCCAATTGCATTGGATGCTTGTACTGTACAAGCATTAGAAGCTGTGAAGTTACCTTATAAGCACCTTCCCTTGATACATATGACACATATGGAGACTAAAACCCTTTCCTAAAGGTTTATGTGTCTTGCAACATTCTACACAAAAGGTAGAAGCACTTGTTACAACACTCGACAAAATTAGGCATAACAAACTTTTTAAAACTATTTTTGATGATGAATATGGGTTTTTGCGTATGAGAGATTACATAGGGTTTTTATTCCATCTTTTTGGATGAGATATATTTGACATTAATCTAAGTCCCAAAACAAAAATTAAAAAATAAAAAATACCATATGATGTTATGTTACATCATGTCAATGTCATGTATGTCAAAGAAGTCCACTCTTATATTTATATATTATTGAAGAATTTACATAAACACGTTAACAAATGAGTGATGATGAAAGTCTTTGACCATGTCTAATTACAATTTGACTAGGATTTTGGTGTTAAAAATGTTGAGATGAGAAATAGAGACCTAGTTTCCAAGAAACTCCAACAGTCATTCCATCATGCATCGTGGGTTGTACCACGAACTCGAACTTTTGTCCTAAGTTACTCATCAAAGAAGAGAAGAAATCCATCACTTGCTGATAAAAAAAGTGAGTTAGTATAACAAAACATAAATCTATGTTTTTTTAACAAATAAATTTTCATTAACTAGCAAAGAACCCTATATATACAAAAACAATACAGTTGCAACACTGGGTTCCATAGAAAAATAAATGTGAAAACATCATAAGAACTAGTAACTTATTCTAAATATCACATGGCGTACCTTCTTTCCACGAAAGGTTTGGAAAGTGGAGACAAACCTACATATGCAAAGACAATCGTGTCCAATGATCTCAGACACTTCATTAAGTTTTTTGTTCTTAATTGCTTCATAAAATCTGAGAACTGTCTCCATGGCTTTGTTATCTCCATCATTTGATCCTTTAGACGCCAATAATGGCAATAATGGTGTTTGTTTTCTAGGACAATATCTTTTGAAACCAAAAGTAGAAAGCTTTGATGATTTAAATGGATTGAGTTGATGGTGGTAGATGGAATTTGTATGTGGAATCTTGTTATGGAAGGTGAAGGGAGTAATGAAAATTTTGTGGAGGGGTAATGTGGTTGAGGGGAAAGATTTTTGAATCATTTTGGAAGATTTCTACAAAAGAAGAAAATATCGAATATAGTTTTTTTAGGATGTTGGATGTTTAAAGGTTATAAGGTAGGAATCTTTGTTGTACAAGTTAAGAATAAATAGGGGTTTTCTATAAGTATCCCATCCCTTTTTCAATTTCATCCCTTTGATTTGAGTTTTTTTTTTGTCTTTTTTTTTTTGTTTTTTTTTTTTTTTTTTTTTTTTTTTTTTTTTCTTATTTTGATTTTTTTGTTGTTTTTAATTTTTAATTATTATTATTATTATTATTATTATTTCGAACAAAATTTTATAATTCGGATGATTTTATAAAATTCGAACAACTATATAAAATCGGTTTTTAATTATTTTTTTATATCTTATAATAATAATAATATTATTATTATTACTACTACTACTATTATTATTATTATTATTATTATTATTATTATAATGACATTATCAATTCGGATGAAATTTTAAAATTCGTAAGAAATTATAAATTTGGACGACATAATAAAATTCAAACAACTATATAAAACGGAACAAAAGCAAAGTTTGTCTTTATTTATCACAGATATATTAATTGGTTCGTTATTACATTTGTGTGGTGCGTTACGCGGATTGAAAATAAACTTTACTTTTGTTCCATTTTATATAATAGTTTAAATTTTATAATGTCGCCCGAATTTATAATGTTGTTCGAATTTTAAAATGTTGTCCGAATTTTATATGGTTATCGAAATTTATAATAATAATAATAATAATAATAATAAACCTTTTACATTTGAAATTTATAACAATCCTCCATTTATAGCACAACCCTAAAAAAAGGTTTTCCAAAAAAAAAAGCTAAAAAATGTTGTCACGATTTTTAAAAAAATATTTAAAAACCGATTTATATAGTCGTACGTATTTATATTGTCGTCCGGATGTTTAAATTTTATATGAAATTTATAATAATAATAATAATAATAATAATAATAATAATAATAATAATAATAAAAGAATTAAAAATAACAAAAAAAAACAAAATTGGAAAAAAAAAAAAACAACAACAAAAGACAAAAAAATATATATATATATCAAATTAAATGTTAAAATTTTGATTTGATTGATTTAGAGGTAAAAATAGTGAAGTAGGGTGGGTTACTTATAGCACAACTCACAAATAGTTTAACGAGTAAGCATCAAAAGGATGACCTTTTAACAATGAATTAAAGTATTGTATTTTTCGAAAGGTGTTAGAAACGGATGATGGATCTAAGAATTTTTACAAGTTGGGGAAAAAATCCATATTTGTAGTGGACTATTTGGCCATAGTAGTAGAAGCGAATTATGTAAATGACATGATCTATTTTTGTAATTTACAATAAATCAAATAGAATTGTATTATTTATATAATATTAAACTAAAACTTCTACTTTAAGACAAATTACATCGAATAGGTAATTTTTAGTAAGGGCATATTATGGTATTATCATTAAAATGACTAAGGCACAGAGTGGATATGAGGAGAGTAGTGTCGGTAGGATGTAACATAGAGTGTAAGACCCTCCATAGTTTAGGGGTTTAAAATGTAAATATATGTTTGTCGTACTGCAATCATACGATTATAACAATAATTGTAACCGGTTCTTTCGAGCCTATAAATGGGGCCTTTGCTCATAAGAAATAATAAACAAGAGATATTTGAGTGTCTAAGACTTGAGTTGAATCTCAAAGTTCTTCCTCTGTTGACATAGTTGTTTTATTTCTCAATAGTAGAGTCATATCCAAACATATTCATATAATCATTCATATAATTTAAACAATCCATCCCGACGCATCATTCAGGTATAATCATATCCTAACTTTCTATTAATTTCGTCATGTTTTTAATTTTGATATCAGAGCTAAGTAACGTTCTTACTATTATTATCCATATTCAATCTTTTGTTTTTATGAATATATGCATCATCAAGAAACATTATTATGAATATTCATATGTTCATACATACTGTTATTCATAATCATCGTTATAACTCAATATTAAAATCAATTCCACCAACAATTTCAACATATATCGTAAGAGGTTTTTAATATAATTATAACTATGTACCAACAAGTTAGAAATATTTTTCAAAAAGTTTTTAATTCTCCGTATGAAAAGTTTGGTATCATCACTACCATTATAAATATAAGAGTAATAACCAAACCCAACCATCAACCTCTTATTAAAATTTATAACTTTTAGTTGTAACTTTGAAAAAAATTACTATTTTGTTTTTAAAAGTTTTAATCATGAGTTTTTCAAATTTAAATATTAATAAACAAGAACTAATTTTTTTCGTACTGAAACAATCTAAGAAATTTCTTTTAGAATTAAAAACAGATTCTAAAATATCAATAATCAATTGCGTATCTAATATTGAAGCAATACAAATAATAGATAATAGTATAAATTAGAAACAATAACAAATAAAAAATCTTGAAGATAAGATAACGAGATTAATTTGTTAAAGATATCTCAAGAAATAGAAAAATCACTAATAGTAACTACTTCGTTAATAAAAAAAACTAAAGATTTCATTTACAAAATAAATACAACTTATTAATATGGAAACTTTACAAGAAAAAGTAGACCTTTTAACTAAATTATTTGTAGCATTAGAAATTCCATCTGAAATTTAAAAAAATAATACAGAAACAGAAAATAATTCAGATAATAATGATGACGCAAAAGTAATATATGATTTTTAATCCGATGATGGAAATCCTTATTCAAATCCATAGAGAAATTCACAAAATAATTTTGGATTAAAACGAAAACAATCATATGTTGAAGATGATTATCAAAGTCAATATATTTATGGACCACCTTTATTAGAAGAAAATTTTCTATATAGACAATGAATGGTTAAAAATAAACAAAACAAATAGGAACAAATACCTCCTCAATACATACCCAAATTATTTACTTTTCCAACAAATTCAGATATTCTTTTTATTGACTGTGATCAAAATCCCGAAACAAAAATTCAGGAATGGAGAAATAAAATGGGAGTACAAATTCAGTTAACTAAAGAATTAAGAAATTTACACCCAACACATTTTCTTAATTATATCATTCATAAAACACAAGGTAATGCATATCGTTTTCTCTCATCTCTTGATGAAACTAAAACAATGATGATATCTACTACTGATACTATGGAAACATTTAAAAATATATTAAGTCGTCTTATTCAGGAATTCATAGGAAAACAAATTGAAGATAAAGTATCATAGGAAGCTTTTCAATTAGAATCATTATGGCATTTAACGCATCTACGAATCTGTAATATATGCTATGTAGACCCATTTATATGTGAATATTCTGAACATTATTATAATTTAGATTCCACTAGAAAAAAGGTAACATTAGATATGTTTTATCAAAAATTACCATCGTTGGTAAGCCAAAGTGTAATAAAAGATTTTCAAGAATCCTTACAACAAAATAAAATTGCAGACACTTTAGGAGCACGAATAAGTACACTAAAAACATGGATGCAAAAAAGATATTTAGAACAAAAAAACAACACAAGATGCAAAAATTGATTTATGTTGTGAAGCCCTTTCTAATAAAGTTAATCAATATTGTTGTAAAGATAATAATAGACAACGATATAATAATAAAATCTGGAAAAAAAAACAAACTTATAAACCTAAATATAAACAATATTATAAACAAGGAGAAAGAAAATATTTTCAAAATAGAAAACAATATAAACAGAAATATCAATCTAAAACAAACTATTTCCCATCGAATAAAAAAGATTGTAAATGTTGGATATGTCAAGAAGATGGACACAAAGCTTATGAATGCCCAAAAAAGACTAAAAAGGAAAAAAGAAACAAATCTATTAAAAATTGCATATGATCTAGGATATGAACCTATAGAAGATTTCAGATATAGATTCAGACATAGATATTTATGCCTATACAACTGATTCTGATTCAGATGTAGATAAATAATCCTATGGTGAAAGTATTATTGGAATTAGGACGTAAGGGAAACCTTATATCTAACCCATACGATGTATACATTGAAAAAGCATATAGTGGTATGAAGACACCATCAAAAAGCATAAAATAATAAAGTATACAGTGATATAAATATATCACCAGAGCATACATTGATATGAAAATTCTCATATCATCATTTGAAATATTAAAAGCAAACAAATATGAGCACACATTCAGGTACTCAAGAAGCACATGTATTCAGACATCAGGCATATTGACATGGTAGCAATCATGAAGCAAATACAACACCAACTCAAACAAAAGCAGGAGCAAAAAGCATCATTAATTAGACAACTTGAAGCAGCCAATCGTGAAGAAGAGCAACTACAACAGATACAACAAATTCTATCATCTTATTTAGCAGTTAAAGACGAAGCAACTCGCAGCTCAACAACAAAGCAACCAAAAGAAGACATTCAAGAAATATCATCTGATGATAGTCAGTCACAAACAATACATAAAACAGAAAAACAACCTATGGCATCAAACCAAGAAGAATACTTACCACTTCAAGCTGATCATAAAAACATAAAGAAACGGTATGTAATTATCAATGAAGAAAACAAATAAATATATGACGATTGGGGAATTGCTAACTCATATATTCTTGGAAAAAATGTCATTCACAAAAGTTACAAAACAACGAATGAAGTAGAAGTCGCATACAACGAAGCATACAAAGCAGTCATAAAAGATAATGTCAAATGTTCAAAAACAGCTCTCCTTACACCAAAAAACCCATATCTAGTTTTACCCCACGAAAACATGTATCCATCCCAAAGTCTCTTAACCAATTAAACACAAAAATTGCCCTTGAAGCCATTCCATCAACCAAAGAAAAAGAAGCCATGAAATAACCAACTACTCAAAATTTTGCTCAACTATGGAATAGTCTCATTAAATAAACCGAAGTCCATTCTTTGATGGGCTTTTATCCGGTAGCCAGGCATCCAGGCCCCAAAGCAGTTTTTCTAGTTGATTTATCAGATCCTATGACTTTATGGGATTATTTTATCCGTGGATTTATTGACACCATTTATTTTGAAGGCACCAATCTCCACTGCATCAGTGAATTTCCATCTGCTGTGCAAACAATAATCAGAAATTATAAAACACGTTTTGCTAAACAAGAAAGAGGATTATTCATCAAAATGCATTCTAATTACCCCATTTTTTATGAAGAATCTCAAGTACTTATCACAAGCATTACCTTTGCAAATATGGGAATAAGTAATGGCTTGAAACCAACAAAAGATGATCTACCTCATGAAACACCAACACAGGGTCATCTAATTTTTGCACTAACCGGTGTCTATCTAGCATCATCTCGCATAGGCAACGGAAAAGATCAAAAATCAAGAGTCAGAGTGAACTATGTCAGTAAAAATTTCGTTATCTATTCTCTAACAGACAGTGAAATCACTCCAAAAGCATTAAAAACAATTGAAACTTTCGAGCAACCATTCAAAAAACTTTCTCATCATCTAGCCGAATTACTCATTGATATAAAAAACAACTTTGTAAACACATAATGCATGCACCACGACATAAATTGCAGTCACTGTATAGAAAATACGGAAGAAACACCGTTCATGGAAGACTAACATTAGCAATAAACAAACATCATTCAAAATTATATGTCCTTCGGTGGTGGGAGAAATAACGCAAGCAATGACGTAAAAAGCCATTATTATTGAAGAATTATTGAAGACACTTGTCTTTTCAATGTGTAAGGGATTATATTATTAATGTAAATATTGTGTCAGTAGAATTATTTGTATTTGTTGTTGTATAATTATTATTTGTATTTGTTGTTGTATAATTATTGTTTGTATTTGTCGGTAGAATATGACATAAAGTAGTGTCGGTAGGATGTAACAAAAAGTGTAAGACCCTGCATAGTCTAGGGGTCTAAAATGTAAATATATGTTTGTCGTATTGTAATCATACGATTGCAATACGAGAAACATATATTTACATTTTAGACCCCTAGACTATGGAGGGTCTTACACTTTATGTTACATCCTACCCACACTACTTTATGTCATATTCTACCGACAAATACAAACAATAATTATACAACAACAAATACAAATAATTCTACCGACACAATATTTACATTAATAATATAATCCATTCCTCATTGAAATGACAAGTGTCTTCAATAATTCTTCAATGATAATGGCTTTTAACGTCACTGCTTGCGTTATTTCTCCCGGCTTTTTACGTCACTGCTTGCGTTATTTCTCCCGCCACCGAAGGACATATATTTTTGAATGATGTTTGTTTATTGCTGATGTTAGTCTTCCATGAACGGTTTTTCTTCCGTATTTTCTTTACAGTGACTGCAATTTATGTCGTGGTGCATGCATTATGTGTTTACAAAGTTGTTTTTTAGATCAACGGGTAATTCGGCTAGATGATGAGAAAGTTTTTCGAATGGTTGCTCAAAAGTTTCAATTGTTTTTAATGCTTTTTGAGTGATTTCACTGTCTGTTAGAGAATAGATAACGAAATTTTTACTGGCATAGTTCACTCTGACTCTTGATTTTTGATCTTTTCTGTTGCCTATGCGAGATGATGCTAGATAGACACTGGCTAGTGCAAAAATAGATGATCATGTGTTGGTGTTTCATGAGGTAGATCATCTTTTGTTGGTTTCGAGCCATTACTTATTCTCATATTTGCAAAGGTAATGCTTGGGATAAGTAGTTGAGAGTCTTCCTAAAAAATGGGGTAACTAGAATGCATTTTGATGAATAATCCTCTTTCTTGTTTAGCAACGTGATTTATAATTTCTGATTATTGTTTGCACATCAGATGGAAATTCACTGATGCAGTGGAGATTGGTGCCTTCAAAATAAATGTTGCCAATAAATCCATGGATAAAATAATCTCATAAAGTCATAGGATCTGATAAATTAGCTAGAAAAACTGCTTTGGGGCTTGGACGCCTGGCTACTGGATAAAAGCCCATCAAAGAATGGACTTCGGCGTATTTAATGAGACTATTCCATAGTTGAGCAAAATTTTGAGTAGATGGTTTTTTCATGGCTTCTTTTTCTTTGGTTGATGGAATGGCTTCAAGGGCAATTTTGTGTTTAATCGGTTAAGAGACTTTAGGATGGATACAAGTTTTTGTGGGGTAAAATTGGATATGGGTTTTTGTGGTGTAAGGTGAACTGTTTTTGAACATTCGACATTATCTTTTATGACTGTTTTGTATGCTTCGTTGTATGCGGCTTCTGCTTCATTCGTTGTTTTGTAACTTTTGTGAATGACATTTTTTCCAAGAATATATGAGTTAGCAATTCCCCAATCGTCATATATTTCTTCGTTTTCTCCATTGATAATTACATACCATTTCTTTATGTTTTCATGATCGGCTTTAAGTGGTGGGTATTCTTCTTGGTTTGATGCCATAGGTTGTTTTTCTGTTTTATGTATTGTTTGTGACTGACTATCATCGGATGATATTTCTTGAATGTCTTCTTTTGGTTGCTTTGTTGTTGAGCTGCGAGCTGCTTCGTATTTAGGTGCTAAATAAGATGATAGAATTTGTTGTATCTGTTGTAGTTGCTCTTCTTCACGATTGGCTGCTTCAACTTGTCTAATTAATGATGCTTTTTGCTCCTGCTTTTGTTTGAGCTGGTGTTGTATTTGCTTCATGATTGCTACCATGTCAATATGCCTGATGTCTGAATACTTGCGCTTCTTGAGTACCTGAATGTGTGCTCATATTTGTTTGCTTTTAATATTTCAAATGATGATATGAGAATTTTCATATCAATGTATGCTCTGGTGATATATTTATATCACTGTATACTTTATTATTTTATGCTTTTTGATGGTGTCTTCATACCACTATATGCTTTTTCAATGTATACATCGTATGGGTTAGATATAAGGTTTCCCTTACGTCCTAATTCCAATAATACTTTCTCCATAGGATTATTTATCTGCATCTGAATCAGAATCAGTTGTATAGGCACAAATATTTATGTCTGAATCTATATCTGAATCTTCTATAGGTTCATATCCTAGATCATATGCAATTTTTAATAAATTTGTTTCTTTTTTCCTTTTTAGTCTTTTTGAGCATTCATAAGCTTTTTGTCTGTCTTCTTGACATATCCAACATTTACAATCTTTTTTATTTGATGGGAAATAATTTGATTTAGATTGATATTTTTGTTTATACTGTTTTCTATTTCGAAAATATTTTCTTTCTCCTTGTTTATAATATTGTTTATATTTAGGTTTGTAAGTTTGTTTTTTCCAGATTTTATTTTTTATATCGTTGTCTTTTATTATGTTTACAACCATATTGATTAACTTTATTAGAAAGGGCTTCACAACATAAATCAATTTTTACATCTTATGTTGTTTTATGTTCTGAATATCTTTTTTGCATCCATGTTTTTAATATACTTATTCGTGCTCCTAAAGTGTCTGCAATTTTTATTTTGTTGTAAGGTTTTTGAAAATCATTTATTACACTTTGGCTTACTAACGATGGTAATTTTTGATAAAACATATCTAATGTTATCTTTTTTCTAGTGGAATCTAAATTATAATAATGTTCAGAATATTCGCATATAAATGGGTCTGGATAGCACATATTATAGATTCGTAGATTTGTTAAATGCCATAACGATTCTAATTGAAAAGCTTCATGTGATACTTTATCTTCAATTTGTTTTCCTATGAATTCCTGAATAATACGACTTAATATATTTTTAAATGTTTCCATAGTATCAGTAGTAGATATCATCATTGTTTTAGTTACATCAAGAGATGAGAGAAAACGATATGCATTACCTTGTGTTTTATGAATGATATAATTAAGAAAATGTGTTGGGTGTAAATTTCTTAATTCTTCAGTCAACTAAATTTGTACTCCCATTTTATTACTCCATTCTTGAATTTTTGTTTCGGGATTTTGATCACAGTCAATAAAAAAATATTTGAATTTGATGGAAAAGTAAATAATTTGGGTATGTATTGTGGAGGTATTTTTTCCCATTTGTTTTGTTTTAACCATTCCTTGTCTATATAGAAAATTTTCTTCTAACGAAGGTGGTCCATAAATATATTGACTTTGATAATCATCTTCAACATATGATTGTTTTCGTTTTAATCCAAAATTATTTTGTTAATTTCTATATGGATTTGAATAAGGATTTTTATCATCGAATGAAAAACCATATATTACTTCTGCGTCATTATTATCTAAATTATTTTCTATTTCTGTATTATTTTCTTGAATTTCAGATGAAATTTCTAATGCTGCAAATAATTTAGTTGATGTTTCTACTTTTTCTTGTAAAATTTCCATATTAATAAGTTGTGTTTGTTTTGTAAATGAAATCTTTAGTTTCTTTTTACTAACGAAGTAGTTACTATTAGTGATCTTTCTATTTCTTGAGACATCTTTAACTAATTAATCTCGTTATCTTATCTTCAAGATTTTTTATTTGTTTTTGTTTCCAATTTATACTATTATCTATTATATGTATTACTTCATTATTAAATATGCAATTAATTATTGATATTTTAGAATCTGTTTTTCATTTTAAAAGAAATTTCTTAGGTTGTTTCAGTGTTTTACGAAAAAAATTAGTTCTTGTTTATTAATATTTAAACTTGAAAAACTCATGATTAAAACTTTTAAAAACAAAATAGTAATTTTCTTTCAAAGTTACAACTAAAAGTTATAAATTTTAATAAGAGGTTGATGGTGGGGTTTGGTTATTACTATTATATTTATAATGGTAGTGATGAGACCATACTTTTCATACGGAGAATTAAAATCTTTTTGAAAAATATTTCTAACTTGTTGATAAATAGTTATAATTATATTAAAAACCTTCTTACGATATATGTTGAAATTGTTGGTGGATTTGATTTTAATATCGAGTTATAACGATGACTATGAATAAGAGTATGTATGAACATATGAATATTCATAATAATGTTTCTTGATGATGCATATATTCATAAAAACAAAAGATTGAATATGCATAATAATAGTAAGAACGTTACTTAGCTCTGATACCAAAATCAAAATATAATGTAAGTAATAGAAAGTTAGGATAGGATTATATCTGAATAATGTGTCGTGATGGATTGTTTAAATTATATGAATGATTATATGGATAGGTTTGGATACGGCTCTGCTATTAAAAAATAGAACAACTATTTCAACAGAGGAAGAACTTTGAGATTCAACTCAAGTCTTAGACACTCAAATATCTCTTGTTTATTTCTTATGGGCAAATACCCTATTTATAGGCTTGAAAGAGTACAATTATTGTTGCAATAGTATGATTGCAATATGACAAACATATATTTACATTTTAGACCCCTAAGCTATGGAGGGTCTTACACTTTATGTTACATCCTACCGACACTTCTTTATGTCATATTATACCGACACATACAAACAATAATTATACAACGACAAATACAAATAATTGTATTGACACAATATTTACATTAATAATATAATCTCTTCCACATTGAAAGGACAAGTGTCTTCAATAGTTCTTCAATAATAATGGTTTTTTTAAGTCATTGCTTGCGTTACCTATCCATATAATTTAAATAATCCATCACGACGCATCATTCAGGTATAATCCTATCCTAACTTTCTATTAATTTCGTCATATCATTAATTTTGGTTTCATAGCTAAGTAACGTTCTTACTAGTATTATGCATATTTAATCTTTTGTTTTTATGAATATATGCATCATCAAGAAGGATTATTATGAATATTCATATGTCCATACATACTTGTATTCATAGTCATCGTTATAACTAAATAGTAAAATCAAATCCACCAACAATTTCAACATATATCGTAAGAAGGTTTTTAATATAATTATAACTATGTACCAACAAGTTAGAAATATTTTTCAAAAAGTTTTTAATTCTCCGTATGAAAAGTTTGGTCTCATCAATACCATTATATATAAGAGTAATAACTAAACCCCACCATCAACCTCTTATTAAAATTTATAACTTTTAGTTGTAACTTTGAAAGAAAATTACTCTTTTGTTTTTAAAAGTTTTAATCATGAGTTTTTCAAGCTTAAATATTAATAAACAAGAACTAAATTTTTTTTTGGTAAAACACTGAAACAATCTAAGAAATTTCTTTAGAATTAAAAAATGATTCTTAAATATCAATAATCAATTGCATATCTAATATTGAAACAATACATATAATAGATAATACTATAAATTGGAAACAAGAACAAATAAAAAATCTTGAAGATAAGATAACGGGATTAATCTGTTAAAGATGTTTCAAGATAGAAAGATCACTAATAGTAACTACTTCGTTAGTAAAAAGAAACTAAATATTTCATTTACAAAATAAACACAACTTATTAATATGGTAACTTTACAAGAAAAAGTAGAAACATTAATTAAATTATTTGTAGCATTAGAAATTCCATATGAAATTCAAGAAAACAATACAGAAATGAAAAATAATTCAAATAATAATAACGCAGAAGTAATATATGATTTTTAATCCGATGATGAAAATCCTTATTCGAATCCATATAGAAATTCACAAAATAATTTTGGATTAAAACGAAAACAATCACATGTTGAAGATGATTATCAAAGTCAATATATTTATGGACCACCTTCATTAGAAGAAAATTTTCTATATAGACAATGAATGGTTAAAAATAAAAAAACAAATAGGAACAAATACCTCCTCAATACATACCCAAATTATTTATTTTTCCAACAAATTCAGATATTCTTTTTATTGATTGTGATCAAAATCCCGAAACAAAAATTCAGGAATGGAGTAATAAAATGGGAGTACAAATTCAGTTAACTGAAGAATTAAGAAATTTACACCCAACACATTTTCTTAATTATATCATTCATAAAACACAAGGTAATGTATATCGTTTTCTCTCATCTCTTGATGAACTGAAACAATGATGATATCTACTATTGATACTATGGAAACATTTAAAAATATATTAAGTCGTCTTATTCAGGAATTCATAGGAAAACAAATTGAAGATAAAGTATCACAGGAAGCTTTTCAATTAGAATCGTTATGTCATTTAACAAATCTACAAATCTGTAATATGTGTTATCTAGACCCATTTATATGCGAATATTCTGAACATTATTATAATTTAGATTCCACTAGAAAAAAGGTAGCATTAGATATGTTTTATCAAAAATTACCATCGTTAGTAAGCCAAAGTGTAATAAAAGATTTTCAAGAAGCCTTACAACAAAATAAAATTGCAGACACTTTAGGAGCACGAATAAGTATACTAAAAGCATGGATGCGAAAAAGATGTTTAGAACAAAAAACAACACAATGTATATTTTTTCTTATAAACGAACGTATGAATAATGATAAGAACGAGACTTAGTTCTAATACCAAAAAACTTTCATTATCATTTTTAAAACTATAAACTATTAAATATGTCTCAAGAAATAGAAAATTCACCAATAATTATTAACAATGAAGAAAATGAGTATGGATATACTTTTGACGTTTTAATTAATAAAAATAATATCAATAAAGATGCTGTAAGAAAATCAAATTTTACATTGTCCGAAAAACATAATTTTTGAAATAACACATTAAAAAACTTCTTTTCTAGAAAAAATATTATATAT